AAAGATCACAATACGAATGAAAGGGGGGGGGGGTAGACCCGTTGTACATTAGGGCGAGGCAGGTTATGGAATGAAAGTGCCAACGTGACTATTCTTATGAGAGGTTAGCCAAAATAGGCATTTCTTGTTTACATAAACTTTAATCATTACAAAAATAGGTCTAACTCGTCTTCGCATATTGATAAAAAACATTTTTCAAATTATTACCTGTGACAGAGGCAGAAATATGTATTACAGTTCTGTTTCTTGGTGTAAATACCAAGTTGTTATATACTAGATATTGAGTTAATCAATGAACGGGCTTGATACCTACTGAACAAATACTAAAAATAAAAGATAAAAAAGCTCTTGAAGCTTCCAGCATCTGATAGCTGTCAGAAAGCTTATTGCCACGCTGTAGTACTGAGAATAAAGAAGGTCTTTGAATCCAATACAAAAATTTGAATTCGTTACTTTCGGTGTATCATTCGGTTCTGAAATTTATGATCTTTTCAATGCAAATGTTCATTTTTCCACATCTCTTAGGTATCTCCGAAAATTTAGTTTTTGAAATCCAGCTTTGCCGTCTTTAAAATGCCATGTACAAAACCGAAAAAGTTCCATCTGCCGAGAAAATTATTTTCACCACTTTTAACCATCCGTGGAATCAAATCCAGATATGGCTTTAAAATAAGGCCTAATTATATGCCGTCATTATGCAATAGAAAGATTGCTGATAATTTGCTGTAAATACCTTCGTTCAACCTCTTTCCGTCCCTCATCAAGGTCTCAGCCGGATTTGGTAGAGGTGAGCCTAGCAACTGATGGATGAAGCTGCGCCCCAGTCTCTATTATTAATTACATGCAAGTTCGGCGTTCCTTACCGTTTCCAACGAATCAGGAAGTAGTTGTCATAAGGCCGCCGCTGTTTCTATGGTAACTTACCGATCGATGAAATTTCTAGTTTTGCGTCTGTTTATGCGTCAGGGAGTAAATAGAATACATGACCATCGATGCTCATAGCGTCATATCCATAGAAACGGTTCGAACAGAAGGTTTTTCTGTCTTTCACTATTATAACGGCTTTAGGCGTTATGATGCCTCAGTTGACCGAAGCATAAGCCCTCACACGGTGTGAATATCTTCGTCTCCGTTTTTTTGCTGATTGAAAGTTGATTCTTCTTATCTGACCAGCCGCAGTGAGCAGCTGACTGTACGGTGGCCGTCAGTGGCGATGCAGAAGTGGACATCGTTTGGATCATCTAAGATATCCGGTGGTCACGTTGGCAATTACAGTAGCGATCAACGATGGGTGCTGCCATATTTTGACGATTCTCGTTGGCTCGATAGACCGCCGCATGAGTCTGACTTAAACGACGACAACTTCACCATCACGTTGAGCAGATCCTTCGGTGCAACCGACCGCAGGAACAGTCGATGCATCACTACCAAGGTGCCGGTTCTAGATACGAAGTGGGTGTTACCTGTTTTTGGTTTATCTTCATTCTAGTCTTTAAACGAACGCGTTTCATTAACCGTCTATTTCTAATTACCATTCATTTGTTTTGTGGGTATGGACGTATGCCGGACAGCGACACATTTTGCTTCGCATTCCATACATAAGTACATACATAGGATATTTTCTCGTCTAACCATAGACATTTCGGCTAAAGGATGTTTCTGCTCTTTTCGTTCCAATTTGTAATTGGAATGGCTTCTACATTAAGGCTGTGTCTCTTAGATACCTCTTCGGGTTCTTGGCCGATCTTAGCGACTAGTTCATGAGGAAGTAGAGTCAGTTCAATTTCGATTTGCGGTTGAATGATCGTTTATTCGCGCTCCGGCCAGTCATTTAACTTAATCCTTTTTAGGGCGATTAAACCAATGTACAGAGGTAACACCTGTCTGAGGTAGATAAATCGAAAGGTTGAGTGAATGTCAAATTGTAAGACACATGTTCAGTAAGACTAGAATAGTTTCCATGTCTTCAGTTTATCCAGCTGTTGCAATTATTACGTAGATGAAGGCTACTCGCCGCGTTGTGCTGTGATTCGGATCGTTTGACTATGACTAATCTTATTTGTCCCACGACCAGGCAGTATTGCCATCATCTACATTATATGGTTATTCTGTAAGCTATTGGCAAGGAATCCATAGTACTAGGACGTTTATTGTTTATGGCTCTCTTGGGGGGAGGCAGCTGCGCAGTATATTGCACGTCTCCTTTGCGCTTTAGAGATGCAGGGTTCAAATTCCTCGTGCGGTGTCTTATTTGTAGCTAATGCGCTGGAGCAAGGAATTCACTGCTTATGCTTTGGAAAGCAGATAGCAGCAGATATTGACATGCAGATGATAACAAAAGCATGTTGTTTTGGTGTCTCCTGTTGCGTAAGGGCTTGGAATTGGTGCGGAAGCCAGCCCAGATAAATTAAGGCAGTGTGTTGCCCGCCAATTGTCAATGATATCTTTCTGCGACTGAAACCTCACGAGGTGCTCCACTTCTCTGAATTCCTTGCGCTAGATGATGGTCATGGAGACGTTGCAGTGGTTCAGAACGTTGACAGTGTCATTCTTAATCTAATGCCAAACAATTATTTGCCGAAATAGCTTTAGGAAAAACGGAAACCGGATAAATATATGCAGGCTACCATGTCGTCCTGAATAGCA